ATCACATCCACTGTTTGCAGCATGTCTTTTTAAGACTGCATAATCGCCACAAATAAAAAACTTTGATTATAAATGTTCTACGGTGTTTTCCCCTGTTACCATTCCGTGATTACAAGCTCTGACAGGTAAGCTTTCGTTGCACTCAAGAAAACGAGTACCATAAATATCGGTTGTGGGTCCCTTTAACTCCGGCAGTTGCGTGCATTGCCATTGCATAGCACAGGTGGAGATAGACATGAGCTTCAATTCCACTACCTCGTCGCCACTGTTATGTCAATGGCAGCCGGAATAACAGGCATGTATGTAAAAAAAAAGACTTTATTACTCAAAAAAGCGAGGAATTTGCGTGCAGCGAGGTCCGAGCAGTGTTGTCTGTTAGAGCACTGGCTGTAGAGTCCACTGAAGGCCATAAACGAGGAGTATAGCACAAAGGAGCAGGCGCTGAGAGCCGGATGGCCTGCGCGCAGTGTCGAGTGCCCGGCAGAACACAAAGGGAAAGGGGCCAGGCGCATCCTTGCCACTAACTGTAAAGTGGGAATGCGCGGTCTACAAGCAAGTATAAGATAAGGCTCTTGCTTACAGTGCTCCGTTAGACATCGCACTTTTCGTGGAGATGCCGGTCATCTTTTAAAAGCAGGAACTATGCTGGTGCTGCCCCAGTGTCTACCAGCAAGCGTAGTCTTGTGGTTTGGTCGGTGACGTAGAAAAGGCAGCTTGATAATTGGCCGTGATCACCCGCTGCTGTTAATGACGATCGGCTTGAGCGTTTCCCATGCGCCAGACTGCAGCAGGAAAACGCCAGAGGCAGTAGCGTGGGTTCTGCTTTGGAAAACCAGCACTCAGGCCAATCGAATGGTCTCTGCAGAGATGGCAACGCAGATGTTGTCGATGTAGTAAGCCTGGTCACTGAAATTGCAAATCTTTCGAAATTCAAGCTGCAAGCCAGCTACTTAGGCTGCGAGATCCTTTACCAGTTTTCCAAGGGAATCTGCTTTGTAAATAGGGGCAGCCAACGTTGATGACTGCCAGAGCAGTGCTCCATTAGACATCGTTCATCATGCCAGCCATTTATGTGAGCTCTGGCAGGGCACTGTGCTGACTGGGACAAGAGCCATTCGCACGTTCCTTGGAAGACGCTGCAAAAACAGCTCAGTGTAATACAGTTGTGTCCAAGCTTGGTTGGTCCCCAACAAGGTTTCATAGGACGTCTGTCCCCAAGCTCTTCATTGTTGGGGAGTCGTTGAATGCGCTGATGTGAGGTGGCAAAGAAGAACCTGTTTGATTATAGAGTTTCATCAAATGGTTGTGCGACAATGACGCAAACCTCGGCATTTGCACGTTGTGGCAATGCTTGAAGGAGTAGCTCGTATTCGCGAACTTCCAACATGATGCAATGTAACGCGGAACTTGTTCTCAACTTTAATGAACCATGACAACAGATTGGCAATCCATAGCTGCAGTAGCGTTATGGTGGTAGGGGCTCCTACGTCATTCAAAGGATACCTGGCCTGTTGCAGTGGCGGTCGTAACAGGATTGAGCTCGTTGAGATTCATCGCGCTGCTTCATGGAAGGTCGTGTTTGTAGTTTGGCTCACCAGTAACACAGTACCACTCTGGTGCACAGTTCAGAAAAAGGCACACAAGTTTATTCATACTTGAATGCAATACTTGTAACTACAGGCTCCTCATCCTAAGGAGCTCCCCACTACCAGCTGACATGCCAATTTATGCGCCAGAAGAAGCAAAGTCTGCCACAGTACTATTTGGATAAAATCAGTGAGAAATGCAATGCATTGAGAAAGAAAACAATGGGTCCAGGCCAGCAATGTACGAACTATCCCACTACATCACCTTGTTGATTGTATAGCTTCAAGTATAGTGTGGCGATAGCGATACAGATGTGAAGAAAGTAAAGTGGACAAAGAGGCAAACTTGTCACCGGCAAGAAATGCACCTGCAACCTTTGCAACACGCACCTCATGCCCTCACCAAGTGAGCTCCATCTACATCATGTGGTATTTATATGTGCATGCAAACCCAGGCGAACGAGGGTACTAGCCCTGCCATATCAGAATAGGTAAGAGCATCAGGCGCATGATCCAAAGTTTGCAAGTGCAGTCTTTGCAGCCGCAGGCAGGTTGTCTTTTCATCCACTCTACTTTTCTCACATTTATAACAAAATTACAACACACTTAAAACAGTACAATTCATCATCAGCCTGACTACAAAGACCTCTCCCATGTTCCACCAAGTCAACTCTGTCCTGTGCTTACTGCCTGCCACATCATACCAGCAAATTTCCTAATCATATCTGCCCACCACTTTCTGTCTTCCCTTCATCCACTTGCCTTCTCTTGAGGCCCAGTATGTGATCCTTAGTGACCAGCGGTTATCTTGCCTTCGCACTGCCCACGACCATTACTTCTTGATTTCAGCTATGACGTCCTTAACACCTGCTTGTTTCCTGACCCACTTAGCTCTCTCTTGTCCCTTAGAATTACACTTATCATTTTCCTTCCCACTGCTGGCTTTGTCGTCCTCAACTTAAGTTAAACCCTTTTGGTAATCCTCCAGGCTTCTGCTCTGGAGGTAAGTACCAGTGAGATGCAGCTGTTATATACCTCCCTCTTAAGTGATAGTGGCAATCTACCAGTCATGATTTGAGAACACTTTCTAAATGTGCTCCAGCCCATTCTTATTTTTCTAGTCACTTCGTTGTTGTGGTTTGGCTCCACTATTGCTACCTGTCCTAAGCAGACGTTCTCTTTTGCAACTTCAAGTACACTGGCGCTGTTCTTTTCTGAGGCTGTTGTACATTACTTAGGTTTTCTGTAGATTAACTGTTCGAGACCTACCTTGTAGGACCTTGCTTAAAGGTAGGCCATACAAGGTGGAAACAGTACAATCCCTTATCTGGTACTCATCAAAGCTATTGATACAGGAAAATGCAATAGAAATTACACCGGTGTGATTAATCGAGAACGGTGTACTATACAGAATGCAGTGGCATTTCACGCCAAGAGAAAGAATTCACAGCACACATACGAAGCAAGCCTGAAAAGTTGAGTAGATCCAATATTAGGTAATGAAGCGTGGAAGCTTGGGCAAGTTGGTAGGACATAACTGAATTCAGGAACAGCGCAACCTACAAGTAGTTACTTCGTAACTACGGAAGCGAAAAAACAAGGACACAAAAGAGCGCTGCACTCTTTTCTGTCCTTGTTTTTTCGCTTCCGTAGTTACGAAGTAACTACTTGTAGGTTGCGCTGTTCCTGAATTCAGCAATATTAGGTACAGCTCAGTTTATGTCCACCTAGTACAATGTGTGACAATGGCCAGAATAGAAAGGAAAAGGTAGTCCCAATAATGTATATGTGGTGTTGTGCAACAAAGAAAAGACTGTTTTACATTGTATGCTTCAATCTGCAATCTGGCAGCCTTTCTTGTGGTTATTATGGGCAGTGTGCCTGCGCATGCTAGTAGTAAAAAAGACTGTTTTACATTGTATGTTACAATCTTCAATCTGGGGGTCTCTCTTGTGGTTATGATGGGCAGTGCACCTGCGCATACTGGTAGTACAAATACGTTCATACCTATAAAAAGGTTTTTCACAAATAAAGTTAGTTTCGAGTTATAGCGCTTGCCCATGCTGAGTGTGCCCTTGTCAGTGATGGAATTGCGTCTTTACAGTTTTGGAGCATACTTTGAAGCATAAAAAGTGCTACCTTGGAGCAGCCATAGGTGTTTTCGGAGCAGAAAAAAATGGTAGCTTAGAGCAGCTATCCCTGTTTAGGAGCAGATATTAAATTGCCACACATTAGTAGAAGTTCCGAGCATTTCGAATAATCTCGAAAATATTATTTCTAATGAAATATATTTAACAGACAACAATCAATGTAAATTTCATGTAGCGAACAATAGCAGGTTGTCCGAAATGTGCTGTGAAATGAGCTGCCATTTAAAATACTAGCATTTGTGGCAGAAATCAAATCAAACTAAAAAAGCTGAGCACCATATTTTAGAAGTAACCACAGTCCCATATAACTGCTGCCAAATAAGGAGTAGATAATTGGCATTAATCCTGCTCATTTTCACATTTCACCATATCAGCCTGCATGTCTAGCTCAGAAAAAAAAAAAAAAGCCTACAAGCTATATGTTTAACGTGCCCATTCTTGTCGCAAAGATGAGATTAGAGCGAATAATGCTGCGCACTAGTAACACACTGGGATGATTGTACGCGGACTCTTTCCAGTTTCTTTAAGACAAACGAGTCGGTCAAACAGTAAAAGTTCGTCATTCTCATACTCTGGGAGTCATTTCGGAGCAGCCTTGGAGCAATTACTAACAAAAAGTACTGTTCGGAGCAGCATTTCTCTTTTGGAGCAATTGTAGGAGCACTTCCATCGCTGCCTTTTGTAGCAAATCTGCGTTCTGCAGTTTAGTCAAGCACACCACACCAGGTTGAATGGTAAGTGTTCCTATTTAGAATATTTGACTCAATCAGCTACGCGAGACGGCAAGGGAAACGACGGCAACAACGCCCACAGTTGTCTTATCGATAAAAAGGACGCTCATTCACACCGCGCATACAGCGCGCTTGTCGCACAACACAAAAGAAACGCTGCCAGCGAAGGGCTGCACGCCAAGTACATAGCGCCCGTCACATTCAGACGTCAGAAAAAAAGTTGGAATAACAACGAAAGTATCGTTTATGTTCCCGCCCTCATTTCGCACGAAGGTTTCAGTTTCAACTCGATGTCGGCATACACCACAGCACGCCAAAAATATGGCCGGTTCATCGGAGTCAGCAACTGCTATTCGGTTCCAAGAAAACATGCAGCAACTGTTGAGCAACGTCCGCCTACAAGATCAAACCCCGTTTATGAGAAATACGTGACATCTAGTTTCTTCACAGCATTTGGGAGATAGCGCTTGAGCAGAGGCGTACGTTGACGACATAAAACGGGGGAACTGGAAACCAGCAAAGCAAATGGTTACCTCTAAATAGAGTGGAAGAGCATCAGCAGTTCGAATGAATCCGGTGGAAATGGTCACCTAAAAGCACACAATCATGCACTGGGCTTCGATGCTTGAACATCAATCCGTCCGAACATGACACACATCACGCACACATCAACACAACTAGTGTGTACAAGAACAACGCCTCCTTAATTAAGATGCCTGATGAATGAATCGTATTGCCAGCTGAATCGCCTTGCCTTCAGTTTTGAGCAAGCGCCGCGCAGTGGCGCTCGCGACCGTCTCTCTTCAATTTTTGACTGCTGGCTGCCCGCGGGCTGCCAGAGCCAGCCAGAGCGCGCTCGTTGTTCTAGGGCTGCTCTATCCCTCCCGCGGCGCACTTCTGGTTAGCGTTCGTTTTTCTCGGGTTGGACGTTCTGGCGACCCGCGGCGAGCCCGAGGGTCGCCAGACGCTTCCAGAACAATTTAGTATCACGGCATTTTTAACTTGTGGACCCCAGGGGCGCGTCAGTCGATAATTATTTGAGATCTGCAACTATACACAAATACTTTAAAGGCCATGCAAAATGTCGAGTTGTTGCCCCGTCCGCCACAAGTGACGCTAAAAACCGAGAGTAGTCAAAAATGAAGCTAGGAAGGCTTTCAGCTACTTGTACATGAAGAATGTCGATACAAAATGAAGGAAGCGAACCAGAAAATTGACGGGTAAATACTCAGAAAACAGCAGGGAACCAAACCAAAAAGAACCATCGGTTAAGAAGAAGGTGAAAGAAACGGAGACTGACATGTGGAGAATCGGCATGATTAAGAAGTCCGCACTAAAGATCTATCAAACTTTTAAGAAGGAAATTGCCAAAGAAAGGATCTATGATAATACTCGGGGTAGTTCTTTACTGTTTGAGGCCAGGACGGGAGTATTGCGAACCAAGACACATCGGGCCAAATACGAAGGGGTAGACACAGTGTGCAGTGCGTGTGGAGAGGAAGAAGAAACTGCCGAACACTTGATAATGTTCTGTAAAGGGCTTCACCCTATAGTTCAGGATGACGGCGCAGAGTTTTTCAAAGCACTGGTGTTTAGGGACAGCGAGGGCAAAATAGACTTCAAGCGGGTAGACTTAACTAGAAGGAGGTTATCTGATTGGTGGCTTAAGTTAAGGCACGGGTGAAAATTAAACCCTTCACTGCAAAGTACGAATCCTCAACCTCACTATTTAAATACAAAAAGATAAATCTATTTGTTGGTTCACTAAGTATTACGGCTAGGTGGCAATAGCCGCCGCCCAATCTAAATGGTACAGCCACATCAACCCAATTATCCATTATCACGGCATTCTTCACTTGTGGCCCCTAGGGGCGCGTCAGTCGAGTTATTCAAAATCTGCAACCATATACGAATATTTTAGAGGCTATGCAAAATATCGTGTTGTGTCACCGTCCGCCACAAGTGACGCTAAAAACCGAGAATAATCAAAAATGAAAAAGGAAAAGGATGTGGCAGCTGTTTTTGTTCTCATGCGGCAGGCATCTAAATAGAGTAGGCATTGACTTGAACCACCGCACAGAGGAAGAAAAAAGGTAAGGAGAGGGCATGCCCAGCCGGCGCAGGGCGTAAAAAGTGTGGCGGAAATGACATCATGGCAGCCATAGTCAGTAGGCACAATGCCGGCGTTGTTATGGTTACGTGTTGCCCAGTGAAGCTGGTCTAGCAGTGAGCGGCCGCGGCTGCCGGCGGAATGTGTGCCTCCCCAGGTCTCGTGCTGAGCCGTGGCGGACAATATCTGTGCTCTGCGCCGCGTTATTGGTTACGCAGTGTTCGTCTGGCTGTTACATTACTCTTAGCAACGTTTACAAATCTCTTTGTCCATCACGGGGTTCCAACAGTGCGTAGAACAAGTGCATATCCATGTGTCGTGCGGCGCGGATGAAGCGGATGAAGCAGTTAGTGTTCAGCGAAATGGCGTTGGGCACCATGACGAAGCTGAATGACGACGAACGCCTTGCAGGTCAGTGACGGTTGAGCAGTGCTCCTGCTTGTGACAACGAACGACGCTGTTGAGCCCAGCAAGACGCCGTGAGGACCATGTGCACATATGTAGTTTCGTGTTGTGTGTGTGTACAGTAACAACTTGCATGTGCGTATTAAAACACATTTTTTTGTTCCGCTTGGTACACTCTCCACCAGCATTGCATGTAATCTCAACGTAACAGCAACCACGTTCAACTGTCACTAGCACCGTGCTCAGTCACCACGGTCGCAGAATGCTGACGCAGGTGAGTTTCACGCGGAACACGGACACAGTGGCAGGACGCTGCGTCAGTCGCGTAGCGGAATGCAACCGTAGAAGGCGCACGACCGATTGTGTTGTCTGTACAGTTGCTGAATTAATGACGTGAAAGCACTCGCCGTTGTCAGTGCATCTAGCGCGCGTTCTTTCGTAGTTGCTTTGTTGTCAGCGAGCTGTTACTCTTTGTTATTACTCGGACGAAGCGATTTCGCTGAAGGTGTCCCGCTGGCTCTGAGTGATGAGCCCAGTTTCATTAGTTTCGGATCGTCACGACACACGCGCCGCGCAGCCCACGTGCTTTCCGAGCCAGAGAGGGAGTCGCGCCTTCTGCTTCGCATTCATATGTAAACAAGAGAGGAGAATTTGCCTACTCAATATGGCCGACTTCCGGCTTCATTGTGGCTTCACAACGAGTGACGTCAGGGCCTCTCCTTACCTTTTCCTTCCTCCGTGAACCACCGTGACTAGAACTAGGAGGATATATATAAAAAAATTGCTGGAGTGGAAGCCGCCTATACTTACCCATAGAGCACAGTGAAGCCGGCGGCGGCCATCTTGTGGTGGGCAGGAAGGCGGCCGCGTAGCATATAGTGCACTTCCGCGGCCGTTTTTTTTTCGCAAATGATTGCTGCTAGAGAAGTAAAAACGTGCTCACATAGTCGCCGATACACTGGCAGTATTTAAAGAGACTACAGAACGGTTCGTTTTTCATGTGTTAAAATTTTATTTGTACAGCTTTCTCAGCCTTTAGCCAACATGAACGTTATGGCAAAGTTGTTTCACTGATTCCTAAAAATGACGAGTCTTGAAAGCAAAGACCTAACTTTGTCTTTCACGAGTTCCCGGCTTCGTTCCTTTGTCATGTGGTGCAGCCTGATCTTGATGTACAGCTCCAATACTTGCTTGCTCAAGTTGTAAATATGGTTGTCCAACACGTCGACGTCAAAAAGATGTTGTTCCAATTGTGAAAACCACCTCTTTTCCAGTGATTGACTCAAAATCTCCAGGACTAGTTGTTTGGTATTGGCATGTATGTTCTTAAGGCATTGAGTGGAAGCCTGCAGCCGACGCAGCCCCTTTTCCGCTGTTTCGCACAGTGACACAACGTCTTCGGAAGGGTAAAAGAGTCCACCTCGATTTTTTTGTCTCACCAATAGAGATGTATCCGCTCCATGAAGAGCTTCTATGCACAACTCACAGGTGTTTGTAGTAGCGATTTTGCGAGCGACAAAGCCTGCAATGTAAGGCACGACAGAGCAAACGAATGTGGAGAGGCTCTCTGGATAGTCAATTCGGTCTGTGTAATCGTGGTCCTCTGGTTGTAGGATGGCACACCTTCGCGATGTGACCTCAGTGGTTGCACAAAATGTAGTGGCAGAGGCAGATGCACCCAGAATAGAAACAATATCTTGCGAACAGTTGCCTGAGGTGGACGATCTCACTTCTGTCTGGACCAATAGACGCTTGTAAGCTGCCATGAATTGGGCAGCTGTAGGGTTGTTGTTGAACCCCCCACGTCCTCGCACACAGCCAAAGAAAGTTTCTGCGTGATCTTGACTCATCTTGTGCGTGAGCAGATAGTTAAGTTGACCTTCATGAACGAGTTCCTTGAAGATACTTTCTGTGCTCTGTATACACACAAGAAAACCCACAAATCCTGTCCTCTTTGTTCCCTGCAAAAGTGGTCGACCGAATGGGTCTTTTAAAGCACATATGTACTCTCGAGCGTCGGCAAAAAATGGTTTCCAACAAGGCTCATTTTGCTTTCGAAGGGGGGCTTTGTATGATTTTGCAAACGCATTTCTGGAGTTTAGCAAATCGAAGAGATGATCAAATACCCTCACAAATTTTGCCGTGGCACTAGCACCTCTAAACTGTGGCAGCTTCAGCGTTTGCTCGCAAAATTCAAGAGCGTCTGCGACTGAAGCGCTGAGTGCCTGAACTGCGAGCCGTACCTTCATCTTTTGCTTCTCCCACTGCATATGCACCTTAGTTAGCTTATTGCCAAGGCGGAGCCCTTCCTCGCGCTGTAAAGCCTCCAGTGCCTTTATGTAAGCCCATTTTATGTGGTTTCCATCAACATCAGTGATGTAACACATTGTTGCCAGTGAATTTCTAATCAACTTAATCATGTGGCATGGGTCAAGCAGGATATGCACATCCCTTGACTCATCAACTGGGTTTTTAAAGGATGTGGAGAACTCGACAGGATCAGGCTTCAGTTCTGCACCAAGGCATTTTGCCATAGTGAAATTTGATGACGCACCATCAAATGTTAGACTGACAACTTGAACTTTCACAGATTCCAGTCGTTCAATGCATTGTTTTGTTAGTTCAGCCCTCTCAGAACCAGTGAGCGAGTGGATAAGAAAGTAGCCGACTGGAATTTTCAGCCTCATGTTTATGCCAACAACAATATAAACACAAACATTTGTGGCTTCAGGAAGGCTGTCATCATCAAGAGATGCTCCAAAATCAACGTAGCCAACTACCCTGTCTCCGACAAGTTCAACATGTTTCCTAATCGTCATATCATCGACAATCAGAGCGCAGTAAAGAGTTTCAGAGCGACCTTGAACCAACTTCTCCAAGAAAGAAAATGCTTCACCTGTAAAGCCTGGTTGGCCATCAACAGACCTATACCATTCTCTGATTGTGCGCTGCGAAGGGAGGGCGTCATTAAACTTTGATCGCACAAATTCGTAGGCTGCTGGTGAGTAGAAATGTAAAGTTAGTGCAAACGTTCGCAGCTCTGGAGGGTATTTACCTCCACTTTCTGTCCGTGCCCGGTGAAGCAGCTGTTGTATGTCAGGAGAAAATGCTGCATCGAACATCTTGGAGCCCTCTTCTGACAAAAGCTTTTGTTCTTCGATGCCTCTAATAATTTCTTCAGCGGTGATTTTCTTTTGTGTCAGCCTTCGTTTGCTCTGCTGCAACGTTT